CACCAACTTACTTTGACTCAAATCCACCAACTTGCCCCAACCAAACACTGTACAGGATTAGAGACCCAGACCCACCTGTATTGGCCTGCATTGAAATTCCAGATGTCCTAAAACTGTCATAATAACGGTTGTATAGCAGAGATAGTCCTACCTGAACCTGCAGGTGTGTGGCATATCATGTTGATTCCTTGACACATGAAATCACAAGTGTTTAGTAAAGCTTGCTTTCTTCCTTTCCTTGGTTCACTTGCCCTTTTCGGTCTCTTGAGACATCCTGTCTTATTGCCGTTTTGTTAAACTCACAGTAAGACAATTTTGAATTGGAGGAAAACGGTTTTCTTTCATATACCATATGGAGCAAAGGATAAAAATGAGTTCCAGCAGCCTATCACGAGTGGTGAGAATTACAGAACTCGTTGGCAGGTCTGGTTCGGAGCAAGTTGGCGGGGATGGGGCTCCGGTTTGAAGCCCCCGATGATGGAGGGAAAGTATCCTCTGTGCACGTCAAACGGACGATAAAATTTATGCTAAATATTGGAACTTCTTTTTCTTTCTTTTTGTATATATATATATATATATATATATATATATATATATATATATATATATATATATATATATATATATATATATATATATATATATATATATATATATATATATATATATATATATACACTAGTCCTATTTATAAGCCTATTTATAAGAAAAATTTTACTTTTCAGATTTATTGAATATTTAATGTATTTGATTTATATAATAAACTAGATACATTGATTATTCAATTAATTTAAAAAGTAAACTTTCTCTTATAAATAGAACTACCGTCCTATTTATAAGAGAAATTTTACTTTTCAGATTTATTGAATAATCAAAGTATTTGATTTATATAATAGATTAGATACAATGATTATTCAATTAATTTAAAAAGTAAATTTTCTCTTATAAATAGGACCACCGGGAGTACCATTTAATTTTTCTCCTTGAACAAGTGATTTCTTGATGAATGTGAAAAAACATGGTTTAATATTGCCACTGAATCCTACACACAGCTAAAATAGGGGGTTTGCGCGTACAGTAATACCATCCACATTGGTAGCGAAAACGCGCACTCCATTTACTTTATACTACTAATGAAACAATAGTATTTATAGAGACCTCAAGTCACATATTGACTATTTAGAGTTCTCAGAGATCCTATATACTTGTAGCGAAACCCACCGTTGGACTTGATTAATCAATAATCAGAATTGTCCATTAGTGTTTTCATTTTTGTAATTTTCTGATTGCTAAAAAGCTGGATAAATTGAAATAATTAAATTCAATTTTTGTTCTCAGAATAACCATGATTGCTGTACTTAGAACAAAGTTCAGATTAAAAGGGGGGTAGGTTCAAGTATTTTCTGCAGGCCGCATCAAGTCGGGAAGCATCATTGAAGCACTTCCTCCTCTAGAATATGTCGAACTGTGGCCGCGCAAGTGATTCTAAATTTGAGTGTTGGAATGATAGTAATCTTTGTAAATGGAAATATGTAATCACAAATTGTAATTCATTTGTGTATATATTTGTATGCAGTTCTCGGGAATTATATTTGATCCCTTTTTCTTACTTTTGTACTTTGAGCCTACTCAGTGTGGTTCACTTTAAAATTGTTACAGATATGTCAAATGTCATAAAAGGTTTTGTTTGCTAAATGTGGTATGACATTGGAATGACATAAATCATCTGAATAACATGCACGAGTTCTTGTTAATCCTTGTGGTGGTGATTGTTCTGGCGTAGTATTGTGTTAAAATAATGGTAAATGTTCCATTAGGGAATCAGAATGTTCGGTGAAATGGTGAGATGGGATTCTGGATTGGTGGAGTAAGTTTTCGGTGCGGTAGAGGAGTTGATCTGCAAAGTTAAAGTTAGCAATTTAGCAATACAATACTCAAGTGAGTGAATAAGAAGAAGTAATGGAAGAGAGAATGAATATTTAAAATGACACATTTTGCCTTTATATATTAAGAGCAGTTGAAATTGTTTACGTGATGAGTGATGATGTTGCATGTTGTTGATGTGTTGGAGGGTGAAATTGTCTACTTCTGATTAGAATGAATGTCTACATGCTTTGTGTGTCTTCTTTCATTTGAGATTTGCTCTTGGTCGTTTTTCTATGAACCTTCATTCTAGATTTGTCCTTGGGCGTTTTTCTATGAGCCGCTCAAAACCGATAAGAACTAGGGACAATATAAACACTTTATGTTGCAAATTTATCATCTTATAATAATAACAATGACAGTGTTGGTTTATTTTTCTGTTGGGAAAATTAAGGAGTGTTCTACACATGAATGTTGATTTTTTTTCTCACTGAAATGATGGGAAGATGCTCATATCATGCCGATTTTGCAAAAGTGAAGATAAGACATAGCCGTTCTAGCTAAAGAAATAAACCGTTATATGACGTTTAACATGCTTCACTTCACATTAGTTTCTTCATCTTCTCTTATAAATGTTTTTTTTTATTTTTTTATAGGCCTAAAAAATACTCTCTCCAAAAAAAAAGTCACTTTGTCCCCGAAGTGAAATAAAAAGATATTGTTGTTAGATAATCTTTATTGATTCCTACATTGGTTTATATTATTGGTTTATACTATGAAAACTTTTATTCAAATCTATGTGCCTTAGGTACACCGTCACTTAGGTAAGCAATATTTTTGAAGATAACAACTCTATAGGTTAAACACTTTTGAATATTGAGAATTCTTTGTGATATGAGAAGTTAATTTCAACTATTAAAGTAAACTTTGAGATGACTATACCTGATAAGAAGATATGTCAAGCTTTATCAAAAAATCTAAATTCCAATTGAAGTGTCAAGTTATTATTATATTAACTAAAGAAACTTGAAGATCTAAAGTTGTGAAATATAAAAGTTTGACCTAATCATGCGCTTAGCGTCTCATAGTTATCAATTTAAATGTAAAAGATTAATAGTAAATATTAATTCTCTATTTTATGATTGATATTATGTTTGGTAAAACTAATTTAGCAGAAATATGTTGAAATAATATGTTCTATCAATTGAAGGAACATGTTGAGCAAGATGTCATATACAAGATCATCCGACATCGCGCCTGTGTAGAATTGGGCAATTGGATGTTTTAGTTTATTTCAGATGCAAAATATTTTAGAAATATTATCATATCTTATGTGGCGCTCATTTTAATGATTAAGAGATTCAAGTTTATTTCAAGGAGGATTCTTAGTTTCTAATTATGGAGATAATTTAGAAAATTAATGATTGAAGTCCTATTTTTATGCAGAAGTTTATGCAGATTTTTAGCAGCTGATTTGCTGCGTGTTTGAAGCCCAATCCAGTCCAGAAGATGTCTTTAAATAGATTGTCACAAACATAGTTTTTGCGTTGAACTTACATGTGTTTTGTCAGGGTTTGTGTATGTTATTTGTGAGCTTCTCTAATATCATCTTGATAAAATAGTAGGAATATTCTTTTGAGTTGTAAATTTTATCAATCATTCTAAAGCTTTTAAGCAGTGAATGAATGTGTATTTTTGAAGGTTGTCTTCGTATACTTTTGAATTGTGTTCTTGTCACTGTTTGTGACTGAAAGGGATTTGAGAAGGGTCGCATACCTAGATGAGTCTTAGGTAGAAGTTAAGCACGAGTAGTGATTAAGTGAGTAGATTGTAAACTAGGTGAAAATTTGCTGTGTGTCTACAAATTGATACTATCTAGTTGACTTCGTCCCTAGTTTGGTAGCCCCCATAGTATGTGTTGTTGTACACCAAACTGAGTTAACAATTCTGTGTATTTTCTTTCTTTTCTGTACTGTTTTATTGTGTTATATTATTCATTGTGTTGTTGTTCAGAGATCAGTGTCTCGATATCTCTTAGGACATTTGAGATCTAACTATCAGAATTTCAATTGATATCAGAGTAGGAATCCTGCTCTGACTCTGGGTGAGACCCAGGGAAGATACTTTCTGGTACAATGTACAAGGAAAGAGGATTTATGAATAAACCACCCATTTTTGATGGGACCAATTATGATTATTGGAAAGCTCGTATGGTTGCTTTCATCAAGTCTCTGGACAACAAGACTTAGAAATATATGGTCAAAGGATGAGATTCACCAAAGGTTATAGGTTAGGATGGAAAGGCTACTAATGTTGTGAATACTAAGGAAGACTGGAATGATGAAGATGAAAAATTATCTCAAGGAAACTTTAAAGCTGTGAATGCCTTGTTTAATGGAGTGGATAAAAATATCTTCAGACTGATAAACAAAATTGCACTATTGCTAAAGAACTTGGGAGATATTGAAGACTGCTCAAGAAGAAACCTCTAAGGTGAAGATGTCTAGGCTCCAAATTCTCAACACCAAGTTTGAGAACTTAAGAATGAAGGAGGATGAGAGTATTCATGATTTTCACACGAATATTATTGAAATAACCAATACCTCAAGTGCCCTAGGGGAGAAGATGTCAGAAGCCAAGTTGGTGAGGAAGATTCTCAGATCTCTTCCAAAGAGATTTGACATGAAAGTGTCTGCCATTGAAGAAGCCCAAGATATAAACAACTTAAAGGTTGATGAACTTATGGGATCCCTACAGACCTTTGAGCTAGGAATCAATGAAAAATCTGAAAAGAAGAAGAGCATTGTCTTTGTCTCTAATACTGATGACCTAGAAGATGAATGTGACTTGGATACATAACAAAGGATATCCAATGCTATTGAGTTACTTGAAAGACAGTTGTGAGCACAAACTTCATCGATAAATGTTTTTGAATGATGTCAAAACTGAGAAAAGCTTGCACCTGAGTATTAGATGATATCCTTATGTCTTGTGACACTCATCTGCATTAGAGGTCTTAGGAATCATTAAAAAATATTTCAAAATTGATCAAAGTCATTAAAAACAGTTTTCTACATGATTTTTCGTTGAACGTGTCGACACATCTGTATTTCTGGCCGACACATGTAATGCATTTTTAAAGCCTGTAGCTTCTGTAAGTCTTAGGCCAACACATGCATGTTTCAAGTCGACACATACTAAAGCTTTTTCTGAAATTGCATAAATTCTTATTTAATGTGTCGACACATCCACTTTTTAGGTCGACACATTTGCTATCGTTTTAAAACCAGTGATTTCTGTAACTTTTCGGTCGACACATGGTTCTTTATAGGTCAACACATTATGTTCAAAAATCACGTATGTGTCGACACATACGATTATTAGGTCGATACATACTATTTTAATTGGTCAATTTTTTAAATTCTTTTATTCCGAATTTATCCCTCTTTGCCCTAAAAATTTCAAACTATAAATACTCTTTCATGTATCATTCCAACTTGTTGAAAACCATAAAATTAGCCTATTTCTCTCTTCATCTTCAACCTCTAATCTATGCATACACATTGACATTACATTGTAATGATGTTCCATTGGGGTGCCATCTAGACGAGGATTGCTAGTATCCAATTGTATATTGGGTGGAGTTTTATAAGGGTTTTCATCCAGGAAAAACCTCGGGTTTATCCTCAAAGATCATTGGTTGATTTAGGGATTTTCATGCAAGACGTTCGAGAGGTGATTACGGTAAAGTGAGCAACTTTAGAGTGCTTAAAATTTTTCAAGGAACCTTGGAGTGTTTGAAATCTTTGTAAGTAAGTAACTTGGAGTACCAGATAGAATTGAAGTCGTGTGTCACAATAGTTTGAGATTGACGGTGCGCGAAAGATTTGGAGATAAAGAACATAAAGGAGTAGCAAGATCCAGATAATCATTTCTCATCTATTGTGTCTTGGTCTCTCTCAAGATCAAGGAAAGAGAAGAGGTTGAATTAATAACAAGCTTATGGTTTGTGGAGTTGCTCTTGAACACTTCTCTTGTATCTATATTTTTGCATAGTAAGAATTATCTTAATTCCATTGAAATTAGGTGCAGACATACCCACACGCGAGGACGACAATGGGGAGCTGTGAAGATAAATTTCTCGTGTCGCTTTTATTTTTGCTTTTACTTGCTTGATATTCATTGTTCGATTTATCAAATAGTATTGCGTTATCATTTGAATTGTAAGAATTTTCCTAATCAATTTTGATCTTTAATTCAAGTGTTGATATAACTTATAATCAATTTTGATTATAAGTCGTTTTCTGCATCAACACAATCAAAGGAAAAATTCTGAAAATTCACTTACACACCAAGTTTATGATAAATTGACTAAACTAGTTCTTTTAATATTACCATTGGAAATAGCATTGCTAAGTGAAATTTATTAAATGGTAAATAAGTTGTAAAGTGATTCAAGGTTATTAATTCACATTATCGTTCTCATTCCATGCCATTTTTGATTTACGGTTTGCATATCCGAGCTTCCCGATAACGTTCGTATAGAGGACAATTTGAAAAAGCTTTAGCGTCGTACTTTGATAAAAAAAATTTCAAAACCAAATTTTATTTGGATGTTTTCAAAGGGGTATCTATTCACCCCCCTCTATATACTGTTGCCGTCGTCTAATAAGAAGCATCAAGAGCCCAATTCATTCCGGCTTCGACACTTTGTAGAAAATGGCTTACGAACCTAAAGGGAATTATAAAAGAGCCCTAATTTTCATGGGATAAAATTATAGTTATTGGAAAGCTTGTATGAAAATCCATGTCAACTCATATGACAAAGGTG